GGTGGATGCGGCGCAGATTGTGCTGGAGTCACATCAGCCGCAGGCACATCAGCAACTACCGGCTGTTGTCCCTTCTTGGTATTCTTCGCCTGCGAGGTCGGGCATGGGCGCCGGCGAGCTGCGCGCCGGCGAGAAGGCTGCCAATCCTCGTCTCGAGTTGGCATAGCCACAACAGTTCTGGTGGTATCTTTCGAAGGTGGTGTGTGTTATGTAAAGACGAAAGAAAAGTATGGGTTGGCAAATAGATGATAATCGTGAAAGTGTGAAGAATGGTTGTTGATGAGAACCGCGTGAAGAAAATTGTGGATGATTCTGAGTTGTGATGCCTTGGGTTCTCAGTCACAGACCTTGAACGCGCGTTAGGCAGTAACGGCTAGATACCAATGCTCTTCGAGGTCTGTGAAATGAACCATATTGTCGGCATTGCAGAGAAACCCGCGCGGTCCTCCGTCTGGACTTCCATCACCATCCACAGGCAGCAATGACCAATGGACGGGGAGTTCCTGGCCTTGTCGTATCAACCAAATGACCGACGTTGTCGTGCACTAGCTTGGGGTTTCAATAATGGACAACGATCATCATCCAAGAGCTGCAATAGACAATGAACAGGGTGCTCGAGGGCTCGTGGCATCCTCAATATCGTCGGGGTTGAGGCAAACCGCCTCAGAGGCTTCTGTCTTGGATATCCACCATCACGTTCTGGGGGCATCCAGTGGAAATTTCGCCATATATCAAGCTTCCCAAACTCGGCTGATTCCGAAACACATAGGACGGACATAACGTGCAAGGAACAATAATCGCAAAGGGATAATAAAGGGGGACGAGGAAAACTTCTTGAACAACGCACAAATAAATCACAATGGCACCTACTATTTGGTTCAAATTCTGCTGTGACATAGCACCACTTGGTGGTGCACTGGGTCCTGGAGTCGGTGCAGAATGAACAGGAGTTCCAGGTAATGGTTGCTGGGAAGGCATCGCCATCCCATTGCCGTTTACACCTGGTCCCATACTGCCACTGCGAGGTCCAGGGCTTGGGGCCCCGCCTGGTGCCGACATAATCGACAACTAATCGACAACAACTTCGAGACAGATCCTCAGATTGCGGCGGAGGATGGCAACAGAGCAGGGTTGCGTACAATCGCCGGCGATTTATATGATGGACTTAGAGGGTCAGCTATCAGTGTTTTGTCTAATGTATATAGCGCCCAAAGGTATATGGGACTTTCAGCGTTCAACAATAGAATAGTGGATTTGATATCTTGAATTTGATATCCCGACGAGCCAGGCTACCTCACCGCTTATTAAGACCTCCCCAGTTTCCATCACGTGACTACAACTAACAAGCATCCCAATCTCCACGGGGATCTCGATCTCTCATTTTACAATTGAAAAGCCGGTGGAATTGATTCTACAGAGTAGCTATCTAATTTTTTTCCCCCTTCGTACAACGCCCAACCAGTCAACATGAAAGAAGATGCACCGCCGCAAGAGCTACCTGTCTTTACCTCCGCCGATCGCATTCGACAGCTGAATGATATGGACAAGGTACTACGGTCATATAAACTATCAAGAACCATCTACTGATTCTTATTCATTAGGATATTACCAAACTTCTCCAATCTGCTGGTCTCGCGATCCAAGCTTTGACCAACGCCAAACCGGGCCCCTCTTCCGCTGCACCAGATGGATCACTCGACTCGCACAAAACGCGGTTCAAAGAAGCAAGCGCAAAATACTTCGCGCTTCTCTCCTCAGCCGATGTCTCCCTCCGTCGCCAGATATACTCCCTAGAGGAATCATCTCTCGTAGGACCCGAGAGGGCCTCACGCGCAGGGGACACAAAAGCTGGAGCCAGAAACGAAGGAGTCGCGGGAGCCAAATCGCGAGCTCCAAACTCACTGGATATCAGTCGGCTCAATAGCCGGAAGGATACAGTTGGGAAAGATAAGGAGGCTGAATTGTGGGCGGCTGCTCGTCAATTCGTTGAGCAGATGCAGAAGCCTTCCGAGACAAGCAAGGATTCTAGGCCAGCAAATGAACCAGAGGATATGCAGGTGGATTGAATGGTGTGCTATCTGTTAATTCGGCGAGATTGGTTGATTTTGCTTCATGCGTTTATGATACCCCGGGCTATATGCTGCCACCAGCATGGAAATTACGAATACAATGAGTCCCATTGGAAGATGGTACATATATTTACAGAGTGCCAAGTACACATACAACCAACCCCAGGCGCAAAATGTGTATGGATTAGCGTTCACGGATATTCACAGAACTACGCTATACAAAACGAAAACCCAACGACAGGTATAGTTCATCAGCCTAGCCGAGCAGGATAATTATCGGAACAGTAAGCATGGCTACTTCTGCATGGACATGATCATTTCCCGCTGGGTTTCTCGGTCTCGGTTCGCATCAGACAATGGGCCCAAGCCTAGGTTTATGTTAGCATATTGCAACGGCATAGACATTATGTGCATCCACTTACTTCGGAGCTCGCCAACAACATCCTTCGCTTTGCCAAAGTAAACCTCCTCTGTGATGTAAAAGTCTAGGTCAGCACAAACTCCTCAAGCCATTAAATCGCAACGATAGAAAGAAACATACGTAGCAAGTTTCGCATCTTCAACTCCATATCCTCCACCAGCCTGCCCACATTGGCGACATGGCTAGCATCGGACTCCACAGGCAGATCAACTTCCACCTGGCGAGTCATGTTCCCGCTGAGGTCCATATCACCAAGAGCCTCGGTTTTGTTGGCTAGGTGGAGGATAACGGTACTAGTGAGTTTGTAGTGGGACATGCGAGCGCGGTCGGTGGCCTCGAAAACGTGAATGCTGTCCCATTCGCCGGAGCTCTGGGAACCCGGGGTGACACCTAATCAAGAGACACAGTTAGTCGCAATCCAAAGCATAGAAAGTAACCCGCAGTCAATCCATAACGCACCCTTCTTCAATAGAATCACGCCGGCAAATCCATCGTCCAAATCCCAGAAATACACACTCCCCACGCCTCCCTCATAGTACAGCTCGCGGTAAACATCGAACGACTCGTTGGCGGCAACCTCGAGCTTGCGCACTCGCTCACTGGGCACGGTACCATCCTCGAGCGGAGGATCAAACTCATTGCTCCATGGTGACCGGTAGCTATCGCCGTCGCGGTTGTAGTCGCAGAGTAGATAGTCGCGGTTGCTCTGCGGGCAGCGGCGAATCTCCAGGGGCTGGTCAACAGAGGAGAGGAGGTCTTCCGTGAGCTCGGGGACGATTGAAGTGATGGCTTGCAAGTTGGTCTTGGTATCCCGTGGGTTCAGGCGCCGAAGGAGGTCGCTGCGGAAGGGGGTGGTCAGCTCACTTGTCTCCGACTGCATGGGGCGGGGTTGCCTCGGGGTCTGGGATTGTCAAGGCGGGTGTCATGGTTGGGGGGCAAAGGGGTCTGTAGTGCCATATTGGTTACGAGATGGGTTACTCACAGCGCGCTGTCAAATTGTGCGTCAGCCATGGTTGCGAAGGTTGGTTGTATACCTGTTGCTTGATGAATGGCGGTGTTGATCTTGGGCGGGTGAGGTGCGTGCATATTTGGGGATACTTGCGTGGCAGTACGTGATATCTATAACAAGCGCAATATATCAATTTCGACAGCATCTATAAAAAGACGAGAAAAGACTACACAAACGTATAGCTACAGATATGCGTATTGAAACGTTCTTTGATTGTCTTTTTATCTTTAGCTCTGAATTTATTGTACGAAATACGCTCTCTCTGCAAGATCTTGGTAGGAACGCCAGACCATTATCGGATTGTTGGGTCTTCAGGGCTTTTGCAAGTAATGCAGAGAATAAATTTCCATCGATGTATGTAAATGGCATTTTCTGTCTCTTAAGGATATCCAGAGGCGAGACTCATCTCCTCCTGCCACCACCCTGCAAAGATATTCAACCTCTCTGTCCGTACCCTAGCCATCTCCTTCCCCGTGGCAGTCTTCATCATCCCCTCCAGCTTAACCAACTTGTCGCCAAAATGTTCAATGGAATTGTCCATTTCCCATTTCCCATCAACACAGTATTTCTTCCCTACAGCCCCAAGGAAGGTAAAACACCTGCCAATTCCAACAGCCCCGATGGCATCAAGTCGATCAGCGTCCTGGACAACTCCAAGTTCGACAAACCCATCCTCATCAATCATCCTCCGGATCAACGCTGGATCCTTGCATTCGGTCGTATAAGAAACATGTGACACGATCGTCTGCACCCTGGATGCAAGTTCCGGCGTCGCACCCCGCGCAAGGAGCGCATGCTGCACCATCGTCGTTGGGTCAAGTTCTTCGCTTCCAGGAGCTGCATTCATCTTCGAAAGGTACTTTCTGTCACCAATGTCATGCAATAATGCTGCAAGTTTGACAACTGCCCCGTTGTATTGTGTTGTCGGATGCAGTGCCCGTTCTGCTTCCAGGATCTTGTTGGCGAGCGCTCCCACTCTGTGAACGTGTGCTGGGTTATGAGATGGGTCGTGGCCTGACATGCAGTCTGTCACGAAGGCGGACATCTCGCTGAAGAGCGTTTGGAATTCTTCGCTGGTATCATCCATTGTGGGGGCTTTCAATCCAGTTATTGGGAGATTGGTGGATTTTTCGGTCCGATGATACTAACTGAATGGTAGCCAAAACTTATGCCAACGGGACAAGTTGGATTTTTATAGCAAGGTAACTATTGGTTGCTACGTCCCTAGGCAACAACACCATATTTCGAAGAAAAACACGGAATTTCCCCCGCAGTAAACAAATTTGGCGGTGAGGAGAGTATTTTACAAGGACTTGGTTGAATGTGAGTACATCGGTTGAAAATTATTATCATTCCATTAAAAAAAAAAGGCTCCATATCACACGAAAGAAAGTAAATTATGCTACATGGCCAACAGGACCCCATAGATCCGGATCAGGGATAGTCCCGTATGACCACGCCGAATTACAAGGTAGTAGATCGAATACATAATCCGTCTTGCTCACAGAGCAAAGGCAGCAACAACCAGGCCAAAGAGGCCAGCAGCGGAGGCACCGAGCTGGACATTAGCAGCAGCGTTGGCGGTCTGCTGCGAGAATCCAGAGGAGCTGGTAGCAGTGCCCGAGGAGGAAGAGTCATCGTTGTCGTTGTTATCATTGCTGTCATTGTTGCTCGAAGCTGAAGGTTGATGTTAGCAGGGTTCCGTATCAATAAAAATGAATGCGGACATACATTTGGAATCAGTGCTCGACGAGTCGGAGCTAGTCTGTGTGGCAGTGTTGCCGGTACCAGTGGAGGTGGTGGAAGAGTGGGTAGCAGTTGCACCACTGCCATTGCCACCCCAGAAGTGCGAGTTGTAGCAGGACTGCTCACACTCGGTATACTTCTGGATGTCGGCTGGAGAGCCAGTGCCCTGGGGACAGGCAGAGACACAGTTGTAGGTGTCATTTACCTGGTCATCGTTGGGACAGGGCACATGGTAGCACTTGGCTGTGCAGCAGATATCCGTAGCTTTGCCTAGAGTTGAGCTGGGTTAGTATAAAACTAAAGACGAGAGTGAGAAATGGCAACTTACAGCTCTTTGCGCACTCAATCTCAGGAGTAGTAGTAATGGTCGAAGGGCTCACGGTGGTAGTGTCTGCGGCAGCGGCGAAAGCCAATAAGGCTGAGAGAGCAAGGATGCTGAACTTCATGTTGGGTGAAAGTGTATTAAGAAATGATTAAATCAACCAAGGGAAAAAGAGTTGGTAAGTAGTGACAGTGTATTGAAGAGAAGAGTGGTAGAGATGTTGGGTGGGGGAAGAGCAGACAGCGAAGTATTAAATATTATTGATATCAAGCCTACAAAGCAAACGGATGCCCTTGGCCCTGACATGGACTTTGCCTCAAAACAAACCCCAGAGATAAAAAAGGGTATACCATAAATTCCCATTCGTGATGTCTCAGAGGATGTTAGAGTTGGCGCTTTGGCTTCGACAGACCAAGCGCATTCAGGTGATGCACGACGATGATCTTACTTCCCCGGACAAGGATATCGTGTAGGATAATCTCCCCCTTTCCCCCTTAGGAAGGGGGTTTCTGTTTTGGCGCAAATTGAGACCCCGAGGGACAGCAGAACTGTCAAATTGGACAATATTGATTGACTTCAGGCATTAGCGTGTGAGCAAGGGACCAATTTCTTTTTCACTGTAGTATATTGTCAACTCCTATTGGCTCTTAGGGCTTGGCAGGAGAACCTTGAAAGTCACAAAGAGCACCAAGGACAAAATCGAGGTTGTAAGTAACTAGTTAGTTAAGTAGTTAGTACAAAGTACTCCGTACATTGTACAGAATAATAGGGCTACTGTTTGTCAGGTGGAATATCAAAACAGAACATAAGGGGCAATGTGATTATGCAAATGTTCAATATGGTGAACAAGTGTGCAATTGGAAGTCCTCAAGCACCGATCTAGGCAGCATACTCCAGTAGTTCATGTAGGCTCAGCCATTCGAGAGATGAAGTGCATTCAAAGATTTGGCGCTTAACTAGGCAATACATAGGCACAAATGCAAACCATACAAACATAAGGCCATCACCTGACTACGTGACGCGACGCGAGATCATTGCACATACGTAGTGTAATGGGAATGCCTTTCAACTATCCACGCGATGTCGACAGATTCCGAGTCGGATTACTTCGATGATGACGACTTTGTAGTCCCCGGAACTCCCGATGGCCCCTCCCGTCCCGCAAAACGCCGCCGCGTTCGAAATCGCGGGGAAGAGCGCGAAGGTCAAAATGACGGTTCTTCGATCGACTCGTTCTCTGATATGGAGGATGATGATTTGCCCTCGCGCCGACAAGAATCACCTTATGGCTTCGAAGAATACCAGGATCGCCCTAAAAATAAGAGCTGTGTACTGAAGCAAGCTAGTATCCAAAATGACATGTTCGTCACGCAACTCACCCAACCCTCCTCAAGCCCGGAACGAATACGGGGTCCACGATGGCAAAAGCCCGTTACAAAACCTTCTCCGCCAAAATTTGAAAGCAGGTTGCAAGATGGTGGTGGTGGTGGTGGTGGTGGTGGTGGACAGGACAGGGATTATACCCATGATGATGAGGAGTTGATGGCCGCTATCGCAGCTTCCTTAGATTCATTTGAGGAGGAGAAAACAACTAGAGGGGTGTTCAACCCCCCAAGTTTATCAAACAATACCGCTCCCAAAAAGCTTGCCCCACCGGAAAAGACAAACACGCACGTCTCGGCGGATGTTTCATTTGAGCTGGAGGACATACCTGAAGGTGCATTTGATTCCTCGCCATCATTGTCACCAGTAGCACGACCTGTCCATCCTGCAGCCCCGCAATTCAGTCAATCCCGAGGCCCAATTCGACAACCACATCTCAGACAGAGCACATTATTCGGAATGGTTGCTCCAAACCCTGAGGTCTTGGCCCCGCGTCAACAAGACTGGGGCCCGCCAGAGAAGACCGAACCACCGACGCAACACAAACTTGTCAAAGATGCTTTGGATACATGGGTATACCCCACGAATTTGGGTAAAACCAGAGATTACCAGTTCAATATCACTCAGGCAGGCCTATTTCATAATCTACTCGTGGCCTTGCCAACGGGTTTGGGAAAGACATTCATAGCAGCTACAATTATGCTGAATTGGTTTCGCTGGACGAAAGATTCACAAATTGTTTTTGTAGCACCAACGAAACCCTTGGTTTCGCAGCAAGTATCGGCTTGCTTGGACATTGCTGGAATCCCACGTCCGGAGTCGACTATGCTCACAGGAGGGGCATCGCCGGGAATTCGAGCCGAAGAGTGGAAATCAAAGCGGGTGTTTTTCATGACACCCCAAACACTGATCAACGATCTGAAGACCGGAATCGCCGATCCCAAGCGAATCGTGTTGTTGGTCGTTGATGAAGCTCATCGCGCGACGGGTGCGTATGCATACGTGGAGGTGGTCAAATTCCTTCGCCGCTTCAACAACAGTTTCCGCGTCCTTGCACTTACAGCAACGCCGGGCTCAACAGTCGAATCGGTACAGGCAGTTATTGATGGCCTAGACATAGCACGTGTCGAAATTCGTACGGAAAACTCGATCGACATTCGTGAGTATGTTCACGCTCGCAATATCGAAATCGAAACATTTGAGAATTCAGACGAAATGATTTTCTGTATGGACCTCATGTCTGCTGCCTTGCAGCCCTTGCTTGACCAACTCAAGACTCTCAACGCCTACTGGGGACGTGACCCTATGGGGCTGACTGCGTACGGTCTCACAGTGGCGAGGCAACAATGGATGCAGTCCGACGCTGGTCGGAATGCCAATTTCGGCTTAAAGGGCAAAGTCAACTCCATTTTCACTGTTCTTGCTAGCCTGGCCCATGCTATTGATCTCCTCAAGTACCACGGCATCGTGCCATTCTATCGCCATGTCATTCATTTCAAATCAAGCTCCGAGGGACAGAAAGGCGGAGGTGGTAAATACCAAAAGCAAGTTGTACAAGATGATAGTTTCAAGAAACTACTCAGCCATCTTGAACCGTGGAGTAAGAATCCAGAGTTCATTGGCCACCCGAAATTGGAATATCTGAAGTCGGTGATTTTGAATCACTTTATGGACAGGGGTGAAGGGAAAGAGTTGCCTGACGGCACTGGTCACCCTGCCACTCGTGTTATGATCTTTGTGCATTTCCGTGATAGCGCCGAAGAAGTCACGAGAGTGCTCAAAAGATACGAGCCCATGATTCGGCCTCATGTTTTCGTGGGTCAATCAAGTGCCAAAGGCTCTGAAGGAATGGACCAGAAGACACAGCTCAGAATCATTGAGGATTTCAAGAAAGGCACATACAACACGATCGTTGCCACCTCCATCGGCGAGGAAGGATTGGATATTGGAGAAGTCGATTTGATCGTGTGTTATGACTCGTCGGCATCGCCCATTCGCATGCTGCAGCGCATGGGTCGAACTGGTCGTAAGCGGGCTGGTAACATCACTCTGCTATTGATGAAAGGCAAAGAAGAAGACTCCTACATCAAAGCGAAAGATAATTACGAAAAGATGCAGCAAATGATTGCCAGTGGCACTCGGTTCACGTTTCACGATGATCGTTCTGCTCGCATCTTACCCGCAGGCGTCCGTCCAGTGCCCGATAAACGAAATATCGATATACCCCCGGAGAACTCGCAGCGAGAACTCCCCGAGCCGAAACGCAAAGGGCGAGTGCCAAAGCGACCTGCCAAGGTATTCCACATGCCTGATGATGTGGAGACAGGGTTTACACGAGCCTCGGCTTTGGCTGGTGATAAACCTCAGAAGAAGAAAGCCACTGCACCCAAAAAAGCAGCCGCCCCCCAAAAAGAGACCCCGGACTCCCACACCCGAGCCTGTGGATGTTCCATCGGTGGAGGATGTTGTTCTTAGCACGAGTGAGCAAAATGATCTTGAACGTCATTATCAGAACATCGGTGCCACTTCTCCGCAGTTCATCCGATTCCCTCGCAACGACGCCTTTCCACGTTTGCAACTCATCGAAAGACCCACAAAGAACGTCAAGCATGGGTCTCTAACGCAACGCATGGTAAAAGCCTTGCAGAAAATGCACGAGGCCGGCCCTGACTGCGACCATCGATTCAAAGAGATCCTGGCCCGAGAACCCCCCTCATCAGACGAGTCCAGTCAAACGGCCCAGAGTGATTCGAATAAAAAGCCTCGGCGCAACCCAAAGCCCTTGAAAACACCATCTAAAAATACTTCTCGACGAACTTCCACCAAGGCCACTGCAAACCCCGCTGGCGGGGAGGTTGTTTCTTTGTTATCTCCAGATCGTGAACCCAAGCAGAAGAACGATCCTTTTGCCTTCATAGACGATGACTTCGGTGATTCTGGCTCTGATTTTGAGCTGATGGATGCTAGCCTTTTGTTTAGTAGTGGGACGAAACCTAAAGGTCCCAAACCGAACAGACCAATTATTGAAGACAGTGATGAGTGATGAAATAGAGACAGGCGTTGGATGCTATTTGGATATGGGAAGATTCTTACCCCATTGGAACATAGGAATGCAATCGCATACAGTTGATAATTCTTATAATCATTTAATTTTAAAAACATCCATATTAGATGATTTATTCTAGAATGTCTATAATAAAAATGTACACTTTCATCTTACTGCTAATGACTTGTCTATAGTAATCCTGTCAGGACTCTGGTACTAAGGCGTCGATGTCCAAAGTACCGGGAAGTGCATATGAAATGGCTGTCAACCTAGATACCACTTGAACCAGGCTGTCTTTGAATTTAGTTGTAGCTGTATCATCATCTGCCCTCTTCTTTGCTGTGTTGGAATATCTTCGTGGGGAACTCCTCCCGAGCTAACTGTTTCAAATAAGCCATACCTCCAACAATGTCTTTACAACAGTGAGTGTGATCTTCTTGAAAGAGAAGCCAAATGGGTATTCTCTCTGCATTGATTCCGCACAAGATAATAAAGTGTCGGTTAGAGTTGTCGATGATTTGGCGGTTGATTCCCCTTAGGTATGTGTCCGCCATGTAGGTTTGGCAAACTTGAGCTTCTTAAGGGTAAATGGAGCCTGGAAGTTGAACGGCCAAACAAGACATTTGATTTGTGGAAGCTGATGCTTGTTGTCCTTTTTTTTTTCGTTCGTTTTTGATTCCTAGGCGCGTCGTATG